TAGGACCGTTTTTCGAATTAGGAGGTTTGGTATCCGACTCCTTTGTGGCTGGTGTGGTTGTTCCATTGGAATGTTCTGGTTTTGGTGATGGAGGAGAGGCAAACAACTTGAAGGAATTATCCGTCATTCTAGGCATTTTCCATGGGAATCTGCGCAAAGACATGCAGCAGAAGATGATTGCAAGGGACCATATATCAGCTGGCTGTGGGTCATATCTCTTCTCGTCATACACCTCTGGAGCGAGGTAAGGATCAGAGCCAACAATACCTACAAGAATATTAGCATGTTTTTTTTTTCTTCAGGAAGTTTAAAGTAACGTACCACTGGAAAGCGTGATGCCTCCTTCAAAGGGATACAAGAACACGCTAGCACTACCAAAATCGATAATTTTCATAATACCATATTGGTTGACCACAACATTATCAAGTTTCAAATCTCGATGAGCTAGGCCCATACTATGCAAGTATGTGACACCACTCAAAATCTGAAGAAATGAGCAGGTAACCTCTTCTTTCGACATTTTACCAGTCATCACAACGGCAAATAGATCGTAAGGTGCATATTCCATGACCTCGTACCATTTTCCTTTCTCTTGCACGATATCCAACGTTTCGATGATATTGCCATGATGTAGAGTTGATCCTATACAAAATTCGGCAGTTACTTTCTTCGTGTATTCCTTCTCTGATTCGTAAGAATGCCTGGCGCGAAACTCCTTTACGGCGAATGTTTTACCATCACTGCTTCGCTTCATCAGACGTACGGAGCCTCCAGCTCCAGCTCCAAGAACCTTTCCAAACTTCCCATACTTCGAAGTTAGCCCGTGGTCATCACCAAATGGAAGCTGTTGTCCTTTGCTAGATGGTGATGCTTTATTTATTGAGCTACCAGATTTAGTAGATGGCGTTGGAGAGCCGGCACGCTTGGCTTTATGTTGACCAATTTTCAAGAATCGCTTGAGCTCTGACATGGAACCGTGAGCTTTGTGTATTGTTGATGCACTATCATCGTGGACACCCGATAGATGGTTTTTATGTCCAAATAATCCAGTGTGTCGTTTCTCGACACCTTGTGCCGGTGTCTTTCCATCTGCCGCACTTCTGGAGGATCTAGGTAAGCTAGTTGTGGATGAGCTTGGAGACTGTCGGTTTTTTGCGCCTACCGCGCCAAATCTGAACCTCGACTCAATGGCTTCGGCATTCTTGGGCTGCGGGACTCTTCGAGATGCGGCATAAGGATCATCTATATCGCCGGCTGGTGTAAAAGGTCTGCTGTAGGCCGAGGGAGTAGCAGAGCGGGCGGGACTAGGTTCTCGAGATGCAGGGACGGAGGTATCGTTCGCAGTAGGACCAATCGAAAATGTATGATGTGGTTTTGATTGACATGATTCGTCAGAATTGCTAGTAGGGCTAGTCATTATTTGCCCAGAAGATCCAGGTCGAGACGCGTCAGCGTCGGTAGTTGAGGGTGAGGTTCTGGGTGGTGAAATCTGAGGTGTCATAGCCGCCGGATCGCCCTCCGCAGCCACTTTCGGGACTGGAACCCCCTTTGCTGCTTCGGTCGGAGCATCTCTCGATCGTGTTGCAGCAGGGGTTATGGGTGGAGAATGCATGGATGATGTTCGAGGACTTTGATGGGGGGAGGGTCGACTCGAAGAACTGTGTGTGTTATATCGGCTAGCCTCTCGCGAGTTCTCTTCGGTTGAGGGTATCTACAATTCAACGAGTTAGTAGGACGGTACAAGACTCCAAACAGAAACCAAGTCAAATATGGACAATAGCAATATACGCTATTGTGGGCCATGTAATGCGTATTCCTTGCAAAGCAAATTGTGGTTCTCAATGCATAGAGTCTACTAAATCCAGCCCGTGGTTCAGCCAAATTTTGACTTTGCTACAGTTTGACACTTCAAGCTGAACTATATCAAACCACACATTGGCAGAACCCGTTGAAATATAGAATGCTGCAAATAGAAATGACGTACTCTCGAAGCTGGTAGAGACACAGGCTCGAATGCAAAATGGCTCATGCGACGTTCTTGTAGATGAGTTCCTTGAAGTGTTTTCGATAGCTGATCTAAATCTACCTGCTCCTTATTTAACATGTTCTGCGTAGCCGTGCTATGATCCAGACCAGCGAAGCTTGCATCCGGTGCTATTTGCTCGTTGACCGCGGCGAACCGGACTTGTGGGGAATCTTCAGTAGAGGATTTGCCGTTCAATTTGAAAGGTGTAGAGCCTGCGTGGCCATTGTTAGCCTCATTTTCTCAATGTATGTTGACAAGATGTCGTGATTGGGTCGACAACAGCACGAGTAAGCGCAGAGACTCACCGAGCGGGGCCGTCTGAGTAGACGATGATGATTCTTGAGGTTCAGCCATAGTGAGAGCGATGGGGGTATAGGATATTGGAGCAATTGCACTATGGTCGAGGATAGCCCTCCGGAGCCTTCACGAAAGTCGGGGCAGGTTGTAAGTGAGAAGGTTGAATCTGAAAGGAGAATTTGGAGGTTTGATGGTGGGGCTTTCGGAGCGTTTCTCTTGAGTCAAAAGCGGATACAAAACTGTAAGAGAGCAAACTAAACGGAAGAAGAAGCCGAGATGATGAGTTTTGCACCAATCGATGAATGATTAAGCATCAGATTGAATATTCAGATTCATCAAAGAGAAAGATAGAAAATGCAAATGAAGTAAGTAACCAATGGTACACAGCATGTACTGTACAGTATTGTATGTATTTTTGACCGTGTATTTTAATGAAGTCTTTGAAGATTCGAGTCAAGAATCTTTCTCCAACTGATTCGATTAGATCATGTACAACCAAGAAATTTATGTACCAGCAACAAACAGTACGAAGTAATGAACAAATTGGTCAAGAACTGGTAGCGGAGGTAGTAGGAATACCAAGCCCGGATCTCTGAGGATTTTCAATGGGTGGTGGGTAGTAGACTGGAGTAGCCAAAAGTCAAAGTCAAAGTCAAAGTTTTTAGTGGAGGAAGGATTTTGAATGTTAGGTGGTGGGTGGAACAAGAGTAGCCATGATGACGGGGTACCGGTTAATAATTGAACCTTGAATGCACAAAAGACCAAGAGACCCTAGATCATAAGCAATATCTAAACTGGAATTGGCAAGGTAATACTCGATGCTTGATGAAGTGGGAAAGGTCGGATATGATAATAAGAGGTACGAGGAGAGAAACGAAGATGTGTACCAGGTAATAATCTGTAATGGAGAATACCAAGTGTGATAGGTCGGATTTGCATCGGCTTTAATAACAACCAGAAGATGGATGACTGTAGTGTGACGATAGACATGTGCTAGTCATATTCTGATGCCTTCTTTATTTCCTTCGAATTCAGGTGTATGATGATGATGTGTGGTGTCTGGTGTCTGGTGGTATATATGATGTAAGCCGGATAATAATTTACATGGAATTGATCGAGATGCTATGTACCGTGCAGCGTACCAAAATATTACAAAAAGGCGTCTATGGAGCAATAATGTAAAATTGGACAGTTGATTTCAGAAGCATCCATCAAAAAGGATATTACTCGAGTACCGCCCGGTGCTTTGTAAATTGTAATGAAGAGATGAGAAAACGAGAAAACGAGAAAACTTCAATGGATCCCTCCTACCAGTCAGTTCTATCTAGGTACTCCCAGGGTTGAAGATAATTTCCATTGACTCTCATTCATTTGGATTGTGCAGAGCTGACTAATCATACCACAAACAACTTGGAAGTCTTTGCTTCTTTTTCTACATGCGGTCAGGCTGGCCTGTCGCCGCTTGAAAAAGAAAAAGAAAAAGAAAAAGAAAAAGAAAAAGAAAAAAGTTTTGACGAGTTGCGAGGTATGAGGTCTACTGGTAAAACCCTTCATTCTCTAACTAAACACATGTGATGAGAGAAAATCGAGTTTTTTTTTTCTACGTGCGTAGATAGATAGAGACTCTTGTGCTCAGCAAATCACATAAGCTGAGATTATCTACAACATAGGTCTCGACCACGATCATTCCGTTTTGGGCCAGGCATTATGGAGAGGTGGATCGAAATTTTAACACAGGCAGGATAAAAATAAATAGATGGAGAAAATTTAAAGCCCAACCTAGAACTGCACCTTTACTTCGCACAGAGGCACGTAGACTGTACGAAGTAGTAGTCATTCAGTAGATGTGGCTGACTGGTGATTCCATCTCATTGAATCCGCCTTGTAAACCTAGATGAGAAAGGGGGACAACCTATCAATAAGTACGGACTGGCATGCCATCTTGACTTCTGAGACTCATTACAGCAAGCTCATCACAACAAATAAGGCATATGTCTCTATGTAATTGGAACCAGCAATTCTCCTGTGATGGAGAAATTGGTCCCGTCTCGAGTCGCTCAAATCAGAAGACTCAAATTAATACCAGGCATCTCTAATTGCTTCATTCGCCAAAGTCTTTATCTTGCACTTGCACAGCAGCTCAGCAGGCACAAGATTATGCACGTCGAGTCTACAGAGGCGCCTGCTTGCTTGTACAACATTAGCATCGTATTTTGTCCCGGCACATCCGATACTGAGCATCGTTTGTGAGTGGATCGTTGTACATTCTTGGGAGGCGATTTGGTTTGTAGATCTTCCTGCTTTATTGACACTTAAGGCTGCATTGGTCGTAGATAGCTGGATACGATTCTTCTAGCTTTCTTCTAGAACTCCACTGTCAAAGCCAAGCCTAAGTGATACCGAGTGTTACCGAGGACAACCCCTGAAGCCCCGATTTCGCTGCTGGGGTTGCGCAAAGCGTTCCAGAAGGATTGGAGGAGATAGTTACACGTGATCCAATTAGCTCGAGGCAATCCGGAGTTCGTCTCGGATTCCCAATGGGAGACATTCCGTTCCGTGAAGAGACATCTTAGGAAGCATGACCTATGAGCCTACCTACTCAATGGATATGTATTTACTCCCGCTGAGCGCCCAATATTCAAGTATTTGGAAGCGCAGCTTTAATTCAGAGCAAAGTGAAACAAATCTGCCAAGTGTGCATGGTTTTGGAAAAGTTTGTATTGATACATGAGTCCATTTCTGAGTATTCTATTGGACAAGCACCCACAAACGCGGAACTATCAGTCCTGTTAACGAAATATTCATGTCCTTAATGTCCTAGTCGAAACATTGTCGAGGTTAAACCGTCATGAAAATCGTCTATTTTACACCATGTAATCTCAGGTTTCCCTCTGAGAGTAGTGTACATATGAATCCCAACGCCGCCGCAATGATATCACACGTGTGTATTGACTCAGCCTTTTCGAATCAGCCTGATCGACAACCCCTCGCCCCCTTCATGCGACAACCTTAACCCCAATGGTTTTCGCCTGCGCAATCACTGATTTGCAAAGCCCCTCCAAAGATAACCCCGATAGGCGCAATTCTGATTGTTTTATTTTGGCAATCTCGTAGATGTGCTTCAGACTGACAGTACCCACGACCGTTGTTGAATCTGGTGCTCCCTTTAGCTTTCCCTTCTTCGCCTCAACACCCGCAGCACTGAGAAGTAGCCACGATGTGGACGGCGTACGTAGTTCGAAATGGAATGATCGATCTGGTCGCACTGTAACTCTCGCGGGAATTGGGGTTCCTGGATTCATATGGGCAGTTCTCGCATTAAATTCCTAGCGAAACTATTAGACTGATTGACCAATTGAAAACGACAAAAATTGTATTTATGATACAAATGAAGTCGAAAATGCAACAAGATTCAGGAACTGTGCAGGTTGGGGATGTGCGTACCTTGCAAAAGTCCATTGACTTTACACCTTTACTTCCCAATGCAGGACCGACCGGAGGACTAGGACTGGCTTGTCCTGCCCCTACTATGAGCTTCACTATCACATCTGAAGCTGCGCGTGCTTTCGACATCGTTATGAAGGTGCTGGCTGAGGAAGATGTCCTGGCAATGAAGCTTTCTTGAGGTCAATTTGATAAATTAAATTTTTAGGCCGCGTCTGTCGCCTTGTCGATAAGGTTCTAAAAATGACATGGGTTTTTCGGTCAAGGATCCATTCAGCCTTTCAAGGTTACCCCAAATTTTAGATAATCCACATGCCGAAACTCATTTGATTTCTGTAAAATGATGCGACACAATGCCTTTTACAATAATACGTCATTTGTATACAATTTGATATTCTTCGCAAACGACAGCAAGATTAATCCCTTCCAAATCTATGAAAGGGGCTTGCACGTGATTAATTCTGGATGATGTATGCATTAGGCAGGAACAAGATGATGGGGCGTTATCTTGGTACTTGAAGGACGGTTGTCCCTCTCTCAAAGACAAACATCACAATAAATCATTTCACTTGCCAAAGATACAATAACACAAATTTTCAAGATGATGAACTGGGCCAAAAAGACAATGGCCAATGTTGCCGGCACAGCAGAACCAATCTATGGACCGTCAGCGATTATACCAGTCGGCAAGCAAGCAGAAACCACGCCATACACCGAACTTTCGAGAGAAGATATGAAATGGGTCGCTATGGACTCAACGAGCGTAGAGACTCAGACTTTCTACTTCATGGCTAATAGTGGACACATTGCTATGGCGCAAGTTATACACAGTAATGTTATGTATGATTTACACTTCTCTCCTTGTAAGAACGAGATGCTGACACTATAGGAAGTGGCGTGCGAACCACAACTCAGTTCAACTGCAAGATCTCCTATCCTAAAGGCAGCTCAAAGCCTAATCTCTGGAGTTCCGATCAACTCAGCAACGTCGAGTTCAGTGATGATAAAACCTGCTTCTATGCAGACGATGTTGCCATTGATCTATCTGAGGACGGCACAGAATATACTATCAAATCCATGACAAATGAAGCATCCATCGTCAACCTCACAGTGACTCGAGTTGCTCCGGGTTTCCATGTCGGTAAAGATGGCAAATCATATTATGGCACAGATCCAAAGGCTCCTTGGGGTTCGATGAGACATGCATTTTGGCCACGAACTATCACCAAAGGATCCATTACAACCAAAGATGGGTCAATAGACTTCAAGGGCAAGGCATTGTTCATACATGCGCTCCAGGGAATGAAACCACATCACGCTGCCGCAAAGTGGAATTTTGTTAACTATCAAGGTCCACAATTTTCAGCCATAATGATGGAATACACAACACCTCCAGCATATGGTTCTACCGTTGTCAGTGTTGGTGGCATAGTCAAGGATGGTGAAATCATCTGTGCCGGAGCTGGAAATACCGCAAAACACACCCGGATCAAGAATGATGAGGATGCTGGCTGGCCGGAACCAGAGGCGGTCAAATTTGATTGGCAAGGAAAGACAAAGGACGGAAAATCTGTTTCTGGTTTAATCGAAACAGACCTTGAGGAAAGACTCGATAGAGTTGATATCATGGCTGAAGTCCCTGGGTTTGTCAAGAAAATTGTGGGCAATGTTGCTGGAACAAGACCATATATCTACCAGGTTTGTCATATATACTTCCTAAGAAATTCCGCGATACTAATACTGCATGTAGTACTCCCCGCGTAATAAGCCAACAACCTTGACACTAAAGATTGGAGATGAAGTGATTACAGAGGAGGGAGTTTTATACACAGAAGCCACGTTTATTTCCGAATGATACCTTGGGACTTGAGTTTATAGCATTGATGTTTTTACATGTCAAATTTTTTGGGTTTTCGGGCGTCAGCGAAACAAGAGACATCATGGGTGCGTTGGAGAATAAGCACATACATTTTAGGGCTTGAAGATACCTTATGGGATAATAGAGTCTCTTTAGGAGGCTTGGATATTAACAGAAGTTCTTTTTCAGAATATTAAAATTCCTCAGTACATACCTAGTATTTAGTATTGAAAGTGAGACTTGGGTGAGAGGAAAAAGCAGAAGAACGCGCTAGTATTAAGTCCCGTGACTTCGTTTTCCCCCGCTTCCCAAGCGCGTTCAACTTTCGTTTGTTCAATCCCTTTCAACTTTCAAACAATTGTCTCAACTCCATTGGATGTATGATCGAGTGATAATATTACGATAAATCGCTCCCTTCTCTATAGCCGTATATCAGCTCCTTGTAATAAAATGGCACCACAAAACTTATCCTCACCATACACTCGAAAAGGTCATCATTCAATGGCCGGAAAGACCGTTATGTCAAGCCTTGGCGGAGGCAAGGGCAAGACCGGGCCAGGTGGTAGGGGGATTGGAGGTCCTCGTTTGAGAAGACATCGGTGAGTTTTCTGGATCAATCTCTATAGTTCTTGAGGTTACTTCATTTATCACTGTCCTCAAGGATTGTACAATTCACAAATACAATGGATAATTTGCTAATATGTTTCCGATTCTAGAAAGGTCTTGAAGGATAACATTAATGGTATTACCAAAGGTGATATTCGGTTAGTACTTCCGTGATAAGGCTGAAGATTCGAACTAATTGCAATTCACAGACGTCTAGCACGCAGAGGTGGTGTCAAACGTATCTCGTCGTTGATCTATGGCGATGTCCGTGAGGCGATCAAATCACGTTTGAATGAGGTCTGTACCCTCACTACAATACCGAGATCGTTGGACTGATCCCTTACAGATTTTGAAGGATTGCGTCGCTATAGTTGAACACTCGAAGAGAAAGACGGTCACTGTCAACGATGTGGGTTTCTTGTGCTACAGTCACTGGTTGAGACTCAAAGCTGATAATGTCATGTTAGGTCATTTGGGCATTGCGTCGACAAGGAAGACCTCTTTATGGTTTTGACAACATCGACAAGTGAACAGTTGCACGCTGTTGATGTGCATTTCGACTATTTTGCGAGGATACCCGTTGCGTGCGTATTTGTAGGACTATTTATGGACATGGAAATCTTGGCGCGCAACAAATTTTCGTTGTTAAGCTACGATTTCTCTTATTTTTTTTACAAGATATTGAGGATATATCAAGCGGCAGAAGCATGTTTGTAACAAAATTCTGATGATCATAGGGTATTGGAAGGATGATAATGAAATAGAGGCTATTAGATCATGAGCAGGCTCTACAAACTGTGTTCGACTTATATCAGTCCTTCTCTATTTGTCCAAGAAAGATTACCTGCCTGCATTTACTTCTATTCTGTGCCCAAGTGAGCATCAGCGTCAAACCGTTTTGAAGCTTATTCGTTGCAATATCCTACACCATCGTCGTACTCCTCCCCATTCCTCTGCCACCCCCTCTACCAGCGCTTGAATCCATCCTCTCTACCCCCACATCACTATGCACTCTCAGCACCTCACCTCTCCCATTGTTTTTCCCATTTTGACTCTTTCTCCCCATGAACCCTCTGCCTTTCTTCTCCAACTTTTCAATCCTCTCACTCTCCCTCTTCTCCCACAATTCATCTATGCGTCTTGAGCTGGCACCCCCATACCAAACCCTCTCACTATAAATACCCATTTTCGGTCCGCCTGGATACTGTCCCTTTCGAACTTTACTCTTTCGAGAAAAATAGGTGCAGGTTATATAGAAACCGTGGATGTGGCCGGGAATGACGCCTAGGAGGAAAAGAATAGTGTTAAGGAGACAGTCGGCACCCACGCCTGCGATCTGGGGTAGATGTTAGTCTAGGAGAGTGAAATTGAGGTTGAGGAGGGGGGATGAGAGACTTACGGCCATAACTGTCACGGGCGGACCTTTGATTCGATTAGTTTTATAATTGTATAGGCGACTGGATGATGGAAGATCGTAGAAAATGGACATACAGAAAATATTAATCAATAACATCACTAATCTCTCTCGAATCATCTTGACTTGGAATCTCGAAGACAATGTAAATATGCTTTGCTGCTCTGTCCAAATATACAAATTTATACCAAAGTTCGCAAAAGCTGTCAAAAATTGAATAGAATACACAAATTTCTAGTCACAAATTTCATATCATCTTGATCTTAAAGACGTTTGGACGGGAAGACAAATAGTTCAAGAATTTTTATCAGGCTTGCGTTACCTTTCTATTAATTCTAGGAGCTAAATGTGTTGGATCCCGTTCTTTCGAATGAAGAGAGCAGGGATAAGAGCTTGGTTTTGGGCGATGATGATGACGATGAGCTGCATGTGGCAGTGTGAGGTTGAATGCTACGAGTCTTGAGAAAGGGTAGATGGGAGGAAATGAAAGAGAACATGAGTTAACGTTATCTATGCTTTTATCAGATGAGTCTACAACATGCAATATCGATGTTTAGTTCGCAATAGCGAATAGTGGTATATCAAATTAGCTAGAGTTCCCTAGGTACCTACGTATGCTAAAAGAGCTAGCATATGGAGTCATTAGGTTGTGCAGTCCCGAACCGGGGTAGAGCATTCTAGCACTTACCCAGCTAGCAATAAAGATTTAGAACAAACAACCACATTATTGACAGAAGAAGGTGAGAGGTAGCAATCAATTTACACATGAGAAACACTTCACTTAAACATACAAGCAAATCGATTGGACACAAAGACCACAATCACGTGCTCAGGCGTCCCAGGCCCATGTAATCACCGATGTTCTTAAACTTAATTGAACCTTACAAATGCGTCAAACTTTCCTTTGCAACAACCACATTTTGGAATTTTGGTACATGATAAATTGATTTTGGGATTCACCATGTCGAATCTAGGAAAACGCAGCGCGTCGTCCGGTTTTGTCGATTTGACAAACTCGGATTCAGAGGATGAGGTACCTCGCGCTCAGCCCAAGCAACCCAGACTCAATTCTACACCCGGCCTGTCAACAGCTGGTTCTGGTTCTTTAAGACCTTCACAGGTTGCTGGAAACTCAATTTCGAGTCAAGCTTTGAATGTCCGTGATCAGTGGGGTGAGGGTGATGAAGATGAGATTATTGATTTGAGTCAAGATGTCGAAGAGGGCTTTGGTTGGGTTTTGGTTGGAGCTCTTGATGGGAAGATTGTGGGCGTTAGATTTTATGACGGATATGCGACGGCTGGTGAACAGGTCATGGTTAGGAGAGAACCGAAAAATCCATATGATTCGAATGCGATTCGTATCAACAATGTGAGAGGTACACAGATTGGACACTTGCCGAGGGAGCTGGCTTCTAAGTTGGCAGGGTTTTTGGTATGTACTTCTGGAGATATTGATGATGTGAAATGGAGACTGATGCAAAACTCAGGACGCGAGAACAATTGTTATGGAGGGAGTTCTTACTGGAGAAAAGAGAGCATATGATTGCCCTGTTTTGCTTAAGATTTATGGACCAGCGGATCCGGTCGTGAGAGCTAACTGTATGTTATATTCTCAAGCACTCATCTGCTACAAGAGTTTCTAAGATAATGTGTCTGCTTGCTGACTATACAACTAGTGGAGAAGCAGTTGGCCGCCAAGAGATTACCATTGAAGAGACGAGAAGTGGCGCCACCAAAGCCGCCGAAGGCTCTAGTTCTACCCTCGCAGAGAAAGCAAATGGGTTTCACATCTTCTCAAGCTGGTAGCTCTAGTCAAGTAGAGCCAACACCTCAACCAGTAATCGATCTTGCACATTTTGTTGCGAACAGCGAGAGATTCAATCCGAGAGAAGTGGATAAGATGGCTGAAGAGTTGGGTTTACCTGAAGATGCACTCTCAAAGATGCCCATGGCAGAACAACCAAAAGATCTCAAGGCTACATTACTTCCGTATCAGCGTCAAGGCTTAGCGTGGATGCTTGAGAAAGAGAGCCTAGTTTTACCAGATGCGAAATCAGACAAGGTTGTGCAACTTTGGAAAGCCTCGAAAGAACATAAAGGCACCTACAAAAATATCGCCACCAACTATTGTGACAAAGCTCCGAAGTTGGCCTCGGGCGGTATACTTGCAGATGATATGGGTCTTGGAAAGACTTTGCAGGTTATCTCTCTTATTCTTGAAGGTGGATCAGGTACGACTTTGATCGTTGCACCGGTCAGTGTTATGTCAAATTGGGCACAGCAAATGGAAAGACATATCAAGAAAGACAAAGCCTTGAAAGTCTTGACTTACCATGGTAGCCAAGGCAAGGTCAAGGAAATGACCCCTAGTGACTTTAAAAAGTACGATGTTGTTATCACCACTTACGGCACACTTAGCTCAGAGCTGTTTCCTCGCGGTTCAAAGCTTCCCGCGAAAGTTCCGACTACTTCTGGATTATTTTCGTTCAATTGGCGCAGAACCGTCTTAGATGAAGGTCACATCATCCGTAATCCAAAGACAAAGAGTGCGATTGCAGCAACAAGTATCAGTGCCATTTCAAAATGGGTACTAACAGGAACTCCGATTGTCAACACTATCAAGGACTTTTACTCGATGCTCAGATTCTTGGGTATTGGTGGTGGTCTCAATGAGCTTGAGGTTTTCAACGCCGTATTTACTCGTCCATTGTAAGTGCTCACCCAAGGAGCATCAAGTTAATGACTTATGCTAACTTACGTTTAGAGCCTCAAGAAATCACGAAGCAGAACTGCTTCTACAAACAACAATGAGAGCTTTGTGCTTGCGACGCAAGAAGGATATGAAGTTTGTCGATTTGAAATTGCCAGAATTGTCAGAGTTCGTCCACAAGGTCAAGTTCAGAAATGATGAATTGAAGATTTATAAAGCTTTAGTGTGAGTACCAACATCCAATCTCCCGATGCCTATACTAACGAAAAATCAGTCAACAAGCTAAAGGTATGGCTGATCAATTTCAAAAGCAGTCGCAGTCTGTCAAGAAAAACAAAATTCAATACACTCACATACTTGAAATTCTGCTTCGCATGCGTCAAGTATGCAACCACTGGAAGCTTTGCGAGAACAGAGTCAACACCCTCATGGAAATTATTGAAAATGATGACGTAGTTGTACTCAACGCCGAGACTCGTCTCGCCCTACAAATGCTTCTTCAGCTCAATATTGACAACCACGAAGAATGTTCCATCTGTCTCGAAGAACTCCACAACCCGGTCATCACAACCTGCAAACACGTTTTTGGACAGGAATGTATCGAGCGCACTATCGAACTCCAACACAAATGTCCAATGTGCCGTGCACATCTCGAGAACAAGGAAGTTCTCGTTCACCCTGCCGTCGAAACAGCCGAAGACGAGGAAATCAATACAGATGAGCAATCTTCCAAAACCGAAGCTCTGATGCAAATCATCAAAGTCACACACAGTGACCCACTTTCCAAAGTCGTCATCTTCTCGCAATGGACTTCATTCCTCAACATCATCCAAAAACAACTCGAGCAAGCTGGAATCAAATTTGCTCGTATCGATGGTTCAATGACGGCTCCACAACGTGACAATGGCATGCAGTCCCTCGAAAGCGATCCCGAATGTCGAATCCTCCTCGCTAGTTTGGCCGTTTGCTCCGTAGGTCTCAATTTAGTAGCAGCAGATACAGTCATCCTAGCCGATTCCTGGTGGGCCCCGGCAATCGAAGATCAGGCGGTAGATCGTGTGCATCGATTAGGACAGAAGCGTGAATGTAGGGTTTGGAGATTGGTAATGGAGGACAGCATTGAGGAGAGAGTTTTGGAGATTCAGGCGGAGAAGCGAAAATTGGTCGGTAGGGCATTTCAGGAGCAGGCGGGCAAGGGTAGAGGAAAGGGGAAGGAGACGAGGATGGGAGATGTTCTGAGATTGTTGCGTTGAGTGGTGAGTGAGTTAGAGTTGTATATTATTGGGATGAATGATGGGTATGTAATGGGGCTTAGATCTGCGTAGATGGCGAATCCGTATTTCGTGGAGTTAAGGGCGGGTGGGTGTGAATGCCTTATTAGAAAGATGATTATGTTTCGCCTCACGGCTTCTAGATAGATTCATGAACCAGTGCGGTTTGTACAAATATACATATATAGATCAAATAAAGATTTGTACAAATGTAAAAATTCCGCACATAGATCTAGTGAGATAATGTTCTTGTATTACAAGTTCATGTGACATTAGAGTGTGAATTACACGAACATCAATTATCTAGAAAATATGTATAGGAAATGGAGCGGAACTGTAAACCACCTATACCTATACAAATAATCACTCTGCGTACGCGAAGCATCGCAAGAGCTACAAGGTGGGCCCATTAATAAAATCCAAGCACGCCAGAGTCCAGAGACGTGACGGAAAAGATGGCCCATGGGAATAAGAAATCAGCAGTTCACCGGACAGTTTTAAGATCAGTTCCCGGTGAGCTCTGATTGAAATCTATATGCTCAATTTCGTCGCCTCTTGGGGAGCTTTCTTTCCTCAATATTGCACGCTGCCATTTTGAGCATGTTTGACGTAGGTTTTTGGCGTTCGGTCCATAGTCTTCTTGATATATAGAATTATATAAGTGATTTCTCGTATATTAGTCATCTACCAGGATTGAAGCATAAAATTTGGGTGTAGAACGGAGAACAGCGAGTAGATCTAATGAACATACCACAATATCATAATAATTCGTATCAAAATTCAAGATTAACGCCAAACAACGTTCTGCCACCCGTATAATATCGAGCTATATATGCCAAAAACACATCTATACAAGTAATGTACTTTCTAATCAATGGATTAATAAATCCTCTTCCTCGTCACTCTTCCCCTCATCATCCAATCCCAAATCCAAAACATCATCATCTCTTTTAGAATGTTCGTCATCAGAACCCTCCACAATACCCCCGCCCAATTCTAACTCTTCTCCTAACAGTCCTTCCCTTTCTTCTCCTTCGCTTCCGCTTCTCCTTCTACCTTCTCCATTCTCCATATCATTTCCACTATTACCCTTCTCTTCCTCTTCTCTTCTTCCGATAATCACATTCCCTGCAACTAGCAACGCCGCGCCTAAGAACCATAATGGTGGTAAACTTTCCGAGAATATTATAAAGCCGAGAACGGCCGTGATCATGAAATTGGAAGATGTGTTTATAATGGAAACTTGAACGGTTGAGGTACCGCGAGCGAGGGCTTTGGTAAACAGGGTCCACATTACACCATTGAAACCCAGGTTGAGGAGGAAAAATATCTATTGCAGTTATAGGTTAGCAATGTGTACAATTTAGAGGTCTTGTGGCTGTGTTGGTGTCCCGTTTCTCATGAAGGGTAACATCCAGAAAAAACATCGCCCATTGAATAAGAATGGAAAACTCACTCCTCGTACACCATATTCAACAACCTTTTCACCCTCCCCTAATCCCAGAAAACCTGCAACATGCTCTGCGAAAGAAGTCGTTAATTGGGTTGTCGTTCTGCGGTCAATAAAGTGTCAGCGCATTAGAATTTAGCGATGGCATGGCATATCCATTCATTCCGTATAGCTTTGAAAAAACCATTTCGATGCATCCGCGCATGTTCAACCTCTTCCCTTCTATACTTCTCCTTCCATTGAATCACTAAATCCGCAACGGATTTGAAGCAATTTAGAAAAAAACCCAAGACCACCTACAATTTCGCAAAAACTCCATTGAAAGCCGCACAAGCACCACTAGCCACCGCCAATAAAATCCACTGCGATTTCCGACTAATATTCTCCATTGTGTTTTCTTGCTCTTCTTCTTCGTCCTCGTCTTCTTCCAATTCTAATTCTGGCTCATTCCCTTCACGATTTGAAGAAGATGTTGGTTCCGAAATTGTAGTTGCACTATAAGACCCGTCGTCATTCAGAATCCTATTCTTAGTCCGAAGCTTATGTACCCCTGTTCCTGTTGTGCCTAAGAGGGGTTTGCGTGGATCATCCACCCCAACTCCACCAGGTACGTCTGCTCCACCATCAGCCTCAAGTGTAAGAGCGGACATAGTAGAACCGGCAGTGAGTGCTGTTGTTGTACCGGCGTTGACTTCTACGGATCCAGGGGATTCGTGACTGTCGGATTCGTAGGTAGAGGTGGAAAAAGTAGAGGATTGCGTTTTGCGTTTGGCAGGGCGGAGCATGGTGAAGAGCCTATAGTGTTGGGCGTTGTTAGGGTAAGGTAGAGGTGGTTATTCCTTTGTTTGAGGTGTGGTTTGGGGTGATGTAGTGAGTTACGGTGCCCGGAAACGAGCCTGGCTCGCCTCGATACTGCGTTGGTGCTGATTGCAAGGGGCTTCGGAAAATCATATATATCATTGAAGGATTTCACAGGCAATTATGTGATTTGATGATTGTCGTCAAACAATTGTAATGGTATGTAGGTAGGTCATCTGGATTTCGCCGGAAGTATTTCTTCCTTCCAACTAGTGTGTCGAGGGCGTCGCACTCTCCCTCTTCATAAATACTGCATAACGCCATGTTTTCAGAAGCATGTATGAGGAGTTCTGGGGCAAATCTTCACTGTTCTCACATAAGAAACTACATAAGCCAGTTGCTGAAATTGCTATGAAGGGTGTTCGGGAAATTGGTATTTACAACCAGGCACCCGAAAGCTGGGTGCGGATAAAGTGCCTATGATAGAGTTGGTGCAAGATACTGGTGTGAGTGGTCTAGTGACTGCCACGAGAAGTTTTTTGTGTTCTTGGATGGTGCAAAGGATCAGTAGCAAGCCGATGAGGCGATCCGTCTCCTTGTGACGATGTCTATGTCATAGACATTGAAAGGGAACCTCACACTCCGAGTCTCTTGAATACATACCATTATTATCTCATTTAATGCGTTCCGATCGGATTTATGATCAATATAACGAATCTCTAAAGCGGATTTAGGCGCTAGTGGTGCGATTTTTGAATCCTCCACTTATGTGTGAACAATCTTCATAATATCAAAGGATTGCCATTCTCATTTTAATATCGATGGCTTCGTTCAACTCTGACGAAGGAGGTGATAGTTCTCAATAAAACATAGGATTCGAGAATTCAAAATCTACAATTTTTGGAGTCACGATACTTGAAAAGTGTATGACACAAGACATCTTTGTGGCAATAGCTCGCAGTTTCACTATTTTGATCACTCAATAAATCATAATCTCTTCGTGACCAGAAGATAAAATAATTATTGTTCCATTCATCTAACATGTAATTCTTTTACCTACTTCAAGAGCAGAAGTAGAATTCAATAATCCAAGGACCCGGAAACATAAGAAAACCCTCCTCGATTCAAAAATGCGCTGAGGGTACCATCACTCAGATCCAGCCTCCATGTTTCCCTTTAGTCTGCCATTCTTCCCAAGGCTCCGGTGTCTCTATTTTTTCCCTCTCTCCGTCGGCTGCTGGGCTCTTCGCTGTCTGTCTTCCCGCCGACAATCTTGCCACTGCCTGTCTTTCCGCTGTTTCCTTTTTGCGAGTTTCCCTAGAAACGGGGTGCCTTCTTTTCAGTCTGTGATAATCAACTACGTACAGTCCATTTTCTCGGGGCCGTCCTTTATTAAGAGAGGAGCTACCCACTGATGTTGGTGCTGGGGGGCTCAATCCCGAAGTCGAGCCGTCACTTCTGCCTGAGACTTCTCGGTTACGGGACTCGCGTGAGTCACGCTTTGTGTCTTGAGCTGTCGACCTGACTGGAATGTCACACTGCATTTGAGAGAGCCATTTCTGAGTAGGTCGCTCGTCAAAGGGTCTAGGAGTGGAGGGCAAGGATGGTTGAGAACATGTGTCTGAAAAGCATGAGGCCTGGGAGTGTCTCGATGAGGAACCGGATTCACGGTGGTGTGTTTTCTGAGCAGAGCTGAAATAAGTTGTTGCTGGAAGGACGTCTTCAACTGAGGAATTGCCAGCAGGATTAGATGCAAAGGTAGAGGATGCGAAACTAGGTGAGTATTTGCTGGACCGTCGCGAGTTTGAAGAAGAGTAGGGGAAATTCTGGCTGTACTGTGGGGCTGAAACATTCCCAGTAGAATTATAAGCAGAGGTAGAATATGCTACATGTGTGTGCGGGTATGCGCTAGAGGATTGACGGTTCATGGGTGGATGGGGAAAATCTTGGTTGTACTGACGAGCTGGAGCGTTAACGATGGGAGAAGAGGCAGGAAATGTATTGTTCATGAGCGGATTTGAACTGGGGGACGGCTGATCTGCTGCACACGGGTAGAGATAGTTCTTATTGACTTTGGGACCTTGAGACATGGTTGTATCTTATTGTGAACGAGTGTAAATTGTGAGAATGTTCAAGCAATCCTATAAATAGTCCAAGTAAATAATTTCTCTGTACTTCTGCTTTTCTTCCCTCTCCCCAGGAAATCTCGAAGCTTAAGAGCATAATTTCCGCACTAAAACTCTGGTCTTTGGAATCATAATGTGGTAAAGGAATATGAATCAAAACGTTCATTTTGAATGACTCGAGGTATTTTCCCTGGGAATCAATGAATCAACTCATGTAATTTAATGCTAGAATTATCACAGCATCTCTATGACTATAATTGCACTTTCAGGGTGAAACTATGAATCTTGAGAGTATACAAAAAAGTACAAGATATAGATCAAGAATATACTGTATACTCAGGAACTGACTTAAGCTTGACATACTTGAGAAGTCCATGAGGGTTCATTCATGGACAACACGATCTAACCGGCTTGGCAAAGAATAATTTTTTGCGTTGAACAACATTCAATGAGATGTTATCCGAAATTTGTGGGAAAAGTTTTGGAGTAGAAAGTATAACAGTCTAGATGGAGTTGTATCGTTGGTAGTGGGATTGATATGGGTCAAATGAATGTATGAATGTATCGAGAATCAAATCCAAGTCAAATGTACACACTCAATCAAAATTGATGTTAATACTGATTAAATTTCTAACTTCATATATCTTTTGAATTCCATAGACAACGTCTCCAAGGGAACTGAATTTAGTTTACACCATCTAGTCTATCTCCATCCAATTTACCGAGCAGGATACCTCAACCACCTCTGTTCGGTTACTCTTTCATGATTGCCTACGACACTCCCATTTGAACAGCCGATATCAAAAACAAGTGATTCTCCATCGCCTTTGTAGCTACAGGTCTATCCTTCTCAAGAATATTAGTGCCGATACAGACCTAAGCCCCTCGATCGCCACTTTCAAGCCTTTTACTTTCCCGAGAAAACTTTAAAAACTCCTCTCTCAACCGCCAAACGCTCGGATCCAGTGGTACAACATCATTGTCCTCGCTTCTGTATGATCTGTTACTGATGGATTATTACGTTATGCAGAAGTTCGGGCCCAACAGGCAGTGTTTGAGTGATTGTAATCGAAAAATGGTTCTCTTAGAAACTGTAAGTCGGTAGAGTTGGCGCGCGATTTCCCGAGTGTCGTCTTTCTGGCTTAGCTTTCTATTTCAATCCTTCTTTGAAAGAGGAAGAAGGACGATATGAGATTCGCCAGATACACACATATGGTGACTGTAGGTATACATGTACATGAGCAGCGGACATTCAAGATGAAACTAGTCCACCTTGAATTCTGGAAATCCTTCCTTTCCACCGATCTTCAAGACATGCATTATTCAATCTTTAACTTGTGCCTAAGCCGGCAAGCCTGCCTTTTATATCAACTTCGCAGATTGAAGACGCTCGTAAAAGTCTTGTGTTCATCGACAGTACTGGTAGAAGCTGCGTAAACCACTTGAAAGCTCGCATGTCGATGTACGCAATGTTCAGCTACCAGAGACTTAGTCTCTTGCGAGCAATTTTGATGACTCTCAAGTATCTCTCGTCTGTAAAGACGAAGAAGACAATTTCCAGCGCAGGCCAACCCTAACTTCAGTCCACTTATTACTTATAGTCTTTCTCAAACTCAACGAAGTTCTTTGAGATTCCCGTCCCTGTGTCTGTGTCCGTGTCTCTTCCAAACGCATATTGACATCCCGCGACATATCCTCCTTTTCTAGTTCGTCAAATTCACCCGGCAATACAGATGGAACAGTCTCAAATCTATCCTCATCGAACAATCCCAAGGCAGAAACAGCCGAACTGTTCTCCTTACGGCCTTCTGTCATTAGGCCTATGACCATAAGCCGAACTACAACATCATCGAGGTCCTGTTGAATATCTCGTCCCTCATCGCCCGTTTCTACCATTGCCTCCCAGTAATACTCGCTGTAGTCCCCTTCTGGTACACCATAATTTTCCTCGAAGTCTTCACTCTCATTCTGTGATTTAGCATGAGACGCTTCACTCTCGGTTGCAGTGAAGAACAGGTCATTATTGAACACTTCATGCTCTGGTATGTCATTCCATATCTTTTTCTCCTCAAAGAATGTGATTTCAGACTCATCTAACCACTCCAATACATGAAGCTGGCCCTCAGTCAAAGGTCCTTCACTACCAAAAGGTCGATGTTCAAACTCAAGGATCGCATCCCTATGCATAACACTTGGTACCTCAGTCATAGAGCCCTCCTCACGGGTTATCAAAGAGTTCGTGGTAAACATAGTGGATGGAATGGCATTATTGCGAAGGATGGTTGGAGGTGGCGAAAAGGCCAAGTAAGACCTGGTGGCCGTTAAGGAGGGTCTAGATCTTCCTTTCTGGATCACTACGTTTTTGGCAGCTACAAAGAACCTTTTGATCGTTGGTCCCGGAGACGGCATGGTTTCAATGTTTGAAACTCAAGGTGGGAGGGAGAAGGTAGATCTGGATGCAATGAAGTTGTTGTTCAGTTGAGAGTTCTTTTCGAACATGTTGAGAGGTGTGTCGGTTGAGTTAGCCATAAAGTCACTAGACTAGGTAAATGACGAATGCCGTTTGGTAGCGCAAAGTATATATATAGAGCTATAGTATGGGGTACCCCATCATTTATATTGAAACTTCAGCCGTTGACACATAATATCAATTGTTTCCTTTTAGTCAAAAATATCGGGCTTTCGTATTGGTAGCGATCAAATCAGATTTGATCTTCATGCTCAGTTGGCGTTTCAATGGCAACCTTATTCGGCCAAGCATCTTGGTCTGGACTATTGGTGAGAATACCTGAATGATGGCCTCGAAGTTCGGAACTTGGGATAAATTGGAAAGAAAACATATAGCTAAGTCCCATGGATCTTAATGAGCTGAGTAGTCTGTCTTCGTGGAGAGAGTTTTGGCGCCAGTGTCATCATTGGAATCGCATCGATATTGGGAGAGATTGACCAGTAACCTCAAGAAACATTTGAATGGTCAAATCATGATAGGTGAACTGGAAGATGCTCCAAATGGGAAAAGCTACCTCTTCGAAACATTCAATGTATGAACTAATCCCTATAACCGAATGGATAGACTGAGCATTGGGTGACAGTAAGGAGGGAACAGAAGAACATCATTGAAAGATTCCTCCATAATCATACACTGGGTGCTAACTCAGTATCTATCTACTATAGTCGAAATAACCCAGTAACAAAATATCGATTCATAATGGTAGCATCGACAAAGGAACCCTCAGTGATGGACGGATTATCTATTTTCTTTTCCCTGAATCTCTTCGATTGTTCATATCATTCGAACATTGAAGATCTCTGTTAGAACTGTTTTGCCTCTCTGATTTAGAAGTCATGATCACTTTTACTGGAACATAGTGTGACTTTTTCGAGAAAGACTGGTAAACAGAATTATCATGGTTCTGCTACTAAATTAGTGACCCATCGCATTGCGACGTCTATGATTTTGATACCATTCCGCTACATACGAACAAGATAGGCATGCTTTCCTCATCCTCCGGCAACGCGCCATGAAACGCCACGGAAACCAACGAACGCCCGAGATATCCTTTCTCTAAAGTCATTGAAGAGCCCAATCTGTAAATGCCAATCTTGACCATCCGAAATCATTCTGCATCTCCCAATCTATCCACCACTATGTCCCCAATATGTCGAATGCCCGTATAGATTCGTTCCCAATATCTACTGAGGATCACCGGGCTTCTTGCTGTTGCAGCTCACGATCTTGACTTTGTCCGCCGTCACTGACTGACTGGAGTTCTCCATCTTGAAAGTAACATCCTTGATCAAAAAAGTCCAAACCTCGTCGCAGAAACGATACGTATCCAGATGTCCCTTCAATATCCAGTCAGCTAAAATTCTGTTTCATTGTCGCCACTCATGTCGAAAAGTCTTGTTCCTCGTAAAGGCCCTGGGCGCATATACCTTGAAAGTCAATCTCGCCTTGACCTTGTCTGCCAAAACCTCCGTAATACTTCTATCAAAGTTTGCCAATATCTTCATTGCGAGCTGAGGCTCGATACGTCTCTCGCTGATCAAGTCGTCAAGGGTATCTGTGAGCGCCATGCCGATACTTAATGCTTTGTCAGTAAATGTAGAAATGTTTGTGTACTTGTGTAGCAAAATAAGGCACAGTACCTGCTACGGCGGTAGAGCTCGTAGAAAGACTGTGGAGCCGCCATCTTGTATGATTTTAATTTGAGATTTGCGGTCGAAGGGGAGAAGTTGATGTTGTTGATGGTTGTTGTTTATATATGGAGGGAAGGCTGAAGTAAGCGGCTGTGTTGCGCAGCATTTGGCGCTAGCTACGGTTGGCGATTCAGGTTACTCTTTCGGTTGGAGCTCGATGAGGTACAGACCAGACCACCCAAAACCATAGCTTTCGTCGACATCAAATAAATACTCAATTCCTTTCACTTTGTTGACGCAGATTATTTGGACAAGATGAGCCTTACATATGGAATTGGTGGTGCTACCACAGCGTTGGCAGTGGTTGGGGCTTGTAAGTTTTAGATGCCCTGTTTGGTTTGATGATTTAAAGCTAACAGGTGCTGTTAGATATGCTCTTTACTGGCGATGGAGAAGCTTTCAATGTACGAATTTCGAAGCGCGATCTGGAAAAGAGTGAATCTAATGAGAGTAATAGTTCGGACAATTCCTCGAAGAGATATCGCCATACGCGTGGGCAGATATGGGTATTGGCATGTGTATAGGATTGTCAGTTGTTGGGGCAGCATGGTACACAACAACTTCGCCCCTCTCTCTCTCTCGATCTCAGCTCACAAAGTATGTAGGGGAATTCTGATTACTGGTTCTTCGATTCTCGGTGGTGGTGTTAAAGCTCCTCGCATTCGAACCAAGAATCTCATCTCCATTATTTTCTGCGAAGTAGTCGCCATTTACGGCGTCATCATGTCTATCGTCTTTTCATCCAAGCTCGGTCTCATGGAGAGCGAAAACCTTTATTCTGCCAGCAACTACTACACTGGATACGCCCTCTTTTGGTCCGGCATCACAGTGGGAATGTGCAACTTGATATGTGGTGTTTCGGTCGGCATCAATGGTAGTGGTGCTGCTCTGGCAGATGCTGCCGACCCAAGCTTGTAAGTGTAACATGTTGATATAACCTGCTTGAAGATACTAATCCGTGGCAGGTTCGTTAAGATTTTGGTCATCGAGATTTTCAGTTCCGTACTAGGACTTTTTGGTCTCATTATCGGCTTGTTGGTTTCATCAAAGGCACCAGACTTCGAGTAGAGGATAAGCCGTGGGCGTGAAGGGGAGTTGCAATTCTGGTGTGGAAAGAGATGTTAGATAAATGACTGTTTTGTACCGTGTATATCATCCAAGTGGAAGCCAACAAAGGGCGTTCAGGGAGAAATCGATTTCAAGCACTTTTGGGTTTTTAGGCAAGGTTGCATTAATATTACTATAGTCAAATGGTGGTATCGCTAGATTGTATTATTAAAGTGCCATTGTAGTAAATGGAATGCTCGTGCTCAAACATAATAAAATGCCAAAGTGCAACATTTCATGACTATTTCACTGGAGCTCACACGTTCCATACGTCGATCGGTGTTATTCAATCAGCAACACTTTATGCTTCACTGCTCTCTCATCATCTTTGACGTCACAAGCTTTGTGCCACCCCTGCTCCGTCATGCCTCATACGACTCGATTCCTTCCACGGCCACAATCAGACCCTCTTCAATATCTGTGGCCAGCTGTGATCGTTCCTGTAGTTGTTGCATTTGTTGCATCATCTGCTGTTGCCACATCTGTTGTTGCTGCACCTGGTATTGTCGGAGAATCTGCTGCTTGACCATCTGTTGCTGGACTAATTGTTGCTGTATCACTTGTTGCATAATATTTGGTTGCGTAAGTTCTTGCATCTGCTGCTGCCGATATTGTTGGTTGAGATCCTCTAAGCTTCGTCCAAAAGGATTGATTTGAGCATGGGATACCCCATAGCCAGGCTGTAAATTGTTGTTCAGATCCTGTCGATACGTGCCAAATGGCTGCATGCCATCGGCTGCTTGAGATCTTGCACCAAGTTCTCGTTGAATTTCTCCCATCTTGGATTCTACCCGTACTCCACGAGCTTCAAAGTGCTGCTCCATCTTTCGCCCGTATTGATAGAACATTGCAAGATCCATGCCTCTCTCCTTGAACTTCTCACTATAAGAGTACAAATCAGTCTTCATATATTAATATGTTGCATGCGGTTGAAGGGGCGGACTTTTCAAGTGCATAAACACGATCAAAATCAGAGAAACGTTGTACTTGCCGCCAAATGTGCCGCAAGGGTATGCCAAACTTTAACCTATGCACGACATACTGCTCATCTTGAGGTGTCATTCCGCAGTGATTCCAAAAGTACTGGCTAGGTACACCTTCTACCATTATTCCTTCATAATAGCCTCGGCTGCTCCATTGTTGAGTAACCCCATCCACACCTTGATTCAGTTCATACATTTGCATCTTTGCTGGAAAGTAAAGCTCTCGTAATTCTTTCATGGAACCTCTCTCTGGAACTTCCCCGGGAATGTCTTTATCTTGAATCGAGATCAAAGTTGCGAAGTCCTGGTCTTTGACAGAGATCAAGTCTGCAACGGTGTTGTTGATATACGGTGTAAAGATGTATGGATGGTGTAATGAAGCTTTGAGTCTACGCTCTAACAAGTTTTCTCCAATGGGCGGTGTTGCTTCATCTATAACCTTGCGTGATTAGTACTTTTCAATGAAACATTAGAAAGCAAGGAATATCTGAATACATTGAGCCGTAGGGGTTTGATCGGAAGCTGAAAGCACCCGAAAGGAGTGGGGACCATAATGATAAGTTGTACTCACGCGGGGAATTGGAGGTTTTGGCTATTTCCAAGTCAAGAAAGTCTTTGGTAACAAATTCATTTGGAGTAGAGGAGAACTGGATCGAGTGAGGTGGAGGAGGGTATGTAATCGGTTCGGCTAACTTGACTGCAAATATTGGGCCGGTGAGGTCGCCAATTCCTTCGAGGAATTCATAGTCTTCATAGGTACGGAAAGGAACGGTTTTTGGCATCTGCAAGTAATTAGTAATGTGATGGCATTCGTGGTGCTTTATGCGACTTCAAGTAGATCGTCATAAAAGCTGCCAGTCCTCCGATGTATAATCTTGATCAAGAATACAGAGCAGCACAACACAACTGAACATACATGATATTCTTCTTCACACATTTTGCAATATCCAGATTGTCCGATCCATTTACAAGTACCAAAATCCAAGCCATCCAAGATGCCAACCCGCACAAAGAATGCCCTGAAATTTTGTTCGGGGCATGGATTAAGGCGAGCTGTCATACCAGCTCTCCAGAAAACGGTATTGCAGTATTCTGTGATTTCGATAGATTTATGACCACATTTTTGCCACTGATAATATTCGTATTGACACATCATGAAGCATCTGTATTTAAATGGAAGTAATATTGTTATCGTTGTGGATAGTCAAAATACAAAAGGAAGCTTGAAAGTAGATATTTGAGAAGGAGGGAGAAGACCATGTTAAGGATGTTCTAGAACTTTTGATGCAGAGAATAAGAGGCGGAAAGAGTTCCTTCCAATTAGAGAATGAAAATTGTGTTTAATTCACTTTTGAATGCCATCTAGCTAGTTCACTCATCATGACATTGAAATCCATCCAACCACCAACCTCCATCTCAATTGAATCTTCTCATCGTTTTGTAAGGATCAATCAACCTTCATATTCACTTCTGACCCTACTCATCAGCAACGCTTCTACCTTCGTATTTTTCGGTAAATCCTTCGATCCGATTGGCAAGCATAACAATGCATTTGCACTCTTCAAGCTTCCAACCCTTGAGCTGCGTTGCATACCAGTGCTACTTGCATATAAAAGGCCGTCTCTTCCTATTGAGACTATCGCTCTATGGTACTCAACTCTTTGAGGATCCAAATGAATATCGTATGATAGAGTTACTGGAACCCTAGGCAATCCTACAGGGGATATTCCAGAGGCGTGATGGAGAGAAGGTAGGACGAAGAGATGGAGAGTAACTATAGCTGAGACTGGATTACCAGGCAGTGAGAATATGACCTTGGAAACTCTTTCCCCATCATTGTTCTTCACTGGTACCGTTGCAAAAGTTGTAGGCTTCCCTGGTTTCATTGATACACGACCAAAATGAATGGTTCCCCCTAATGATCTCTCAATGGTGGGTTTAAGAAGATCAAGCTCGCCCATCGATACACCACCAGTGGTGATAACAACATCAACTTTTCGAAGTCCATCCCGAAGTGTTTGTTCTAGATCTCCAGGTTTATCTCGAGCGATACCAAGATCTACGACTTCAAATCCTAGACCTCTTACTGCCGCCATGATTGTTGGCCTATTACAATCACGAACTTCCCCCATTCTGAGAGAGCCAGGCCTATTATGTTCGACAATTTCGTCTCCTGTGGAGAGAACACCTACCATTGGTTTTTTGTAAATAGTGACTTCTGCTCTGCCGACAGACGTGAGTAGACCAAGTTCGCCACCATTAGCAGATATCTCTTCTCCTTTGCGCATTATAGTAGATCCAGCCTCAATGTCACTACCGACTTCTCTAACATTTTCACCAGGCTTAACTCCATCGGCTAATATCTCGACTTCTTTCTCCTCCCCACCATCCTCGGTCATCGTCTTCAGTACAGTATCTTCCACCATTATTACAGAAGTAGCACCAGGCGGAAGCGGTGCACCAGTTGTAATGCGTGCGATCTGACCTTCTAGAAGAAGAGGATGCTCACCGGCGGTGGCATGAGATATCGATGCTACAGGAAACACGCCTTTGTTTGATTTGCCTTCTGTGGCAATGACCGCATATCCGTCTACAATACTGGCGCGATATGCCGGTACAGCCTCACTTGCCGTAACATCCTCCGCTAGAACAGATCCTACAATGTCTCCATTTAGATCAGCTTTTACGGCATGCGGAGCAGGTGTATATTTTTCTATTAGCTTCAAAGCTTCATCGACAGATAACATGGGGTATGGCGATGAACGACTGCGTCGCGTTGGACCGAGAGCGGGATCATTCGAACGAGGGTTTTCATCTGGCGCAGTATGTCTAACAGGCAGTGCATGCCCATGGCTATGACCATGTCCATGACTATGGCCATGACCGTGCGAGTGATTATGGGAGTGATCATGTTTATGTGAATGTGCCGACAGAGAAGCACCCTCAGAACCAATACCAGCTTCTTTCTCGAGCTTCTTCACACCTCCCACATGAAGTGTCCGGGAATCTGCTCCGGCAGCTTGAAGGCAAGCATGTGGTAAAAGCTTCAATATTGATTGAAGGTTCTCTTTTGCTCCTTTGGGTGATCCAGGTAATGTGACGATGATTGTCTTGTTGCGAACACCCGCCACTGGCCTTGACATGAGAGCAACTATTATCAGTCAACTAACTGTTGATACTCGTGACTTTTCCAAACCTACAAGGAGTGACTGCCAATGAAGCAGCAAGCATTCCATGGACAAGTCCTGGAGCTTGTTTGTGTAGAAGGGGTGTGATTGCCTATAATAGTACATCTTAGCATGCGTATGATACCTTGGGGACTGTATTACCTCAGGAGTATTGTCTGAGACTGCAAAACCGGTTCCACCAGTAGTAATCACAGCATTGATAGTATTTCCTTGATCTGTCCAGGACATCACACTTCTCTGTATATCTGTCACATTATCACTCACGATCTTCGTTTCCACTACTTCCCATTGGCCGTCTACTTCCTCAAAAACGCCTTTTAAAGCAGGACCGGAGGAGTCGGTTGATGCATCTTTAGCTGCAGTAGTCGACACAATGAGAATTGCTGCTTTCAGAGTCTGTTTATCCATTTTGAAATCTGCTGTCGAATGATGTGAGGTTCTAGTCGTCGCTACCCCTCGGCAGATAGTGAACTTCCCCACTTACCGATACCTAGGCCGACGTCACAAGAAATCGCGTATGCCGAACTTTTTTTTTGTTCGGCGCGTTGTTCCAGACCAAAGAAATTGACAAAAATCAAGTCTCAACAACCATGGTACGAATCAAGAATCGGTACCTTCTGGTCAATATTCTCTACCCTGAACTGGAGAAAAATACCGGCGGCAAAGAAAAACTACCAGATGTAGTGGTGTTCAATCAACCAACCGTCGATGCACTGACTTCGCGCGCATTACTGAGAGGCATTCAACTGGAAGTTGCGAATCTTTTTGGAGATTATGGAAGCGGCGCAATTGCAGACAGTATTGCAGGTTTGTTCTTTTTTCTTTGAAACAGATTTTGATCTAGAGGGGGGGATACTGATGCGATTGGGATGCAGTAAAATATTTGTCATCTGCGACATCGACATTTATCCTACGGGTTTCGCGAGCACATTATAGGATTGTTTGGGCAGCTTTGTCGCTAATGAATAGCTTGCCTATCAAAAACGGTAAAAACTGTGTGTTCAGAGTTGTAAGGGTCAGTGGGACAATTAGAAAGGCAGAGGAAGAAGCTATTAGAAGGGCGAGGGAGATGATATTAAAGGCCCGCAGAGATCTGGGCGAACAAAGTGAATCTACACTGGAGAAGATGTTTGGCACAAACAAAGGTGCTACGGCAAAATCCGCAAAAGATGTCATGATGGTGGATGCAGTGGATAGTGAGGACGATGAAGAATTAAGTGATGGAAATGGTTGAGGGTATCATTGATTTGTTCTAACAACTTTTACGCCTGAATCGAATGGCGCCCGAGCCATTTCTTCTAGGTCATCATCGTCTTCTGCAGCTCTCGAGTTGTCTTCCTCTTCCTGCATCTTGGATTGCTCCTCGAATTGCTTCATCTCCATCTCCCGATATGCTTCATCATACTCCTCCTTACGATCAATCCAGCGCTCCTGAACATCTTTTATATCCATCGTTGTGGTACCCTCTCTCATAGCCACTTGCCACACAGTATCGTTCGCACCCTCTGCGCCACCAAAAGCATATCCTCCGGCTCGATCTATGACTTGAAGTAAATGCATCATACTCCTCTTATCTTCCACGGCTAGGGTTTCGAATCCTACCAACCCGAAATCTTCAACAAGTTGAATAATCGCTTTGTTCAGACCCTCAAACTTTGAACCCTTCATTAACGGCGATTCTTCTTGAAGGCTGGGAAGCAAGTGTGAAAGGTCTTGGACTTCGGTATAGAAATCTAAGTTGAAAGGTAGTGGTGGATACGAAGCCAATTTGTCCATTTTCGTCAAAACATTCAGATGTGGTAAATCCATTTGGAGCATTGCTCGCAGCGAGAGAATCAGATTGGAGATGTATAATGAAGGCAAAGTCAAGCAATAGGAATCGGAAAGATGGAGCACTACAAGCTGCACAAATGTCAGCATACTGATTTTTGAAAGTAGACTTCCAGTAGAGAATTGAAATAACGTACTCTATATCCTAATTTCTGTAACTTAAAGAATATGTTTCGTAAAGACGAATGATGTGTATAAAGCTCAACCTGACCTGGACAATCAAAAAGTACATAATCCTCGCCCAGTTCTGCCAATCCTTCCTCCAACCACTCCATATTGTTTTCTAGTTCCTCAAGTGCATATAGTACGCCACCATTGGGACCTAATGAGTCTTCCTCCATGATATCCTCTAGCTTTATGAAATTGCGCACGTCGATTGCGCAGGGATAGCTTGTGTGATCATTGGCGGGGTCGAGGTTCACGATGGAACACTTTCTTCCTATAGCAGACATGAACTGCTGCATGCCATTACAATATGTAGATTTCCCAGCGCCAGGAGAGCCGAGTACGAGCTGTGCGAAAGGCATATTGTGTATATGGTTGTAGTTCGGAGTTGGGGCGATTCGTGGGTGGCAGGTACAAGAGAAAATCCGCTTCTTTTTTTGTGGTGTTAGATAGTAACAACTTTTTCTTCAGATTCGTTTTCGAATACAGAAAATGTCAGATGTTCGCGCTCGAATGTGTTTATGAATGCCGGAGAAAGTGGTGCGATGCAAAGGTCGCAGTTGTAGCTCACTACCAATATTAGCTCACCCTTGGAACCTTTCAAAAGTTTTGTTGCACCTCTGTCCACGCTCTCAGCTTTGAGACCTTGAGAGGAATATTATTTTTATTGTAATTTGGAAAGCTTGAAAGGACGTTGTTGAATAGGTATATCGTAGAGGGGTACATTTGGCAAAAGTTGAAAAGCTTAATGCAAGGCTGACAAGCATCATAGCGGTGAGTGTGGCAGAACGCCTGGACTAAGCCTTCTACAGAAACGCGGCTTCGAGATCAATCTAAATATTTCACTGGAACCTGGTTACACTCGAATTGAATTATCATTAACGAAGCTCCTTATTAAAGACTCTATACTCCTGCGCGGAAAGAATCCAACTCTACCCTCAGTGTTGTTTCTATCTTACTACACAATCATGGCGCCAGGTATGCAAGCTCTACATCATCCCAAGCTCAAGCAAGGATACTAATATAGCTCTTTAGCAGTACAATACGAGCTCTCTGAGCCACCTACTGACGCAGTATCTTCTCTACAATACTCGCCTTATACACCTACCAGATTACTTGTTTCGTCCTGGGATAAGAAGGTCTATCTATACAACACAGAAAATGTTTCCGAAGGAGGGCAGCTGATTAGAACTTACGAACATCGGGCGCCGGTACTGGATGTTTGTTTTGGGAAGGATGAGAATGAGGCGTTTTCAGCCGGCATGGATTGGCAGGTGAAGAGGTACGTTTAACCTTTGGGACAATTGAGTTAGACTTGGGGATGCTAATGTGGAATAGAATTGATTTGGAAAGCGGAGAACACACAGTGTTGAGTACCCATGAGGCGCCAGTCAAGTCGGTGGTGTATAGTAAAGAGCATTGTAAATCTCTCCGCAATCGCATATATCAATTGTTACAGAATGCTAATGCAGCCTCCTAGCTCTCCTCATATCCGCTTCGTGGGACCAAACACTTCACATTCACAACCTTTCCGACCCCTCGCAATCCCCAATGACAATTCCTCTTCCTTCTAAACCGCATTCTCTCTCCCTCACAGCCACAAAGCTCGTAGTCGCCATGTCCTCCCGACTTCTCTACATCTATTCCCTCCCCCTCTCTATCGACCCCTCTCAAGAACCCTGGCAACAACGCGAATCCTCTCTCAAATTCATGACCCGCGCTGTAGCCTGCATGCCCAACGGTGACGGTTATGCCTCTTCCTCAATCGAAGGCCGTGTCGCCGTCGAATGGTTCGATCCTTCCACCGAATCCCAAGCCCGTAAATACGCTTTCAAATGCCACCGCCAACCCGATGCTGCAGGCGACGGAACAGATATCGTATATCCAGTCAATGCCCTCGCATTCCACCCCACGCACGGTACATTTGCATCTGGAGGCGGAGATGGAGTCGTTGCACTGTGGGATGCCGTTGCAAAAAGAAGAATTAGACAGTATCAGAAATACCCAACGAGCGTAGCCGCTCTCTCATTTTCAAGCGATGGAAAATATTTAGCTGTGGGCGTATGTCCAGGATTCGAGAACGGGCAGGAAGACTACAGTGGAGAAGGATTGACAAAGGTGTATATAAGGGAGCTAGGCGAGAACGAAGCGAAAGGGAAAGGTGCGAAATAATTTAGATTTAATGTCGTCTACTACTGGAAAGATATTGTACTCGCCAAATTATTCATTTAGCAAGGCGTTCTGGTACAGAAAATGAATGAGAAGTTTCTTCTTAAGAGTCTAGTAGGTGGAGAACTGCAATCATTGAGAATGGATGGTGAAATCATCGCTTTGTCTACTAATCTGCTTTATACATCCTAACACACACTCTCGCTAATTTGAAGACTTTAACACTGCCGCTCAAGTAAATAAAGATCGACCCTTCTAGCAACATGATCAAGATAGCGAATCGAAAACTGGTAGATGTTAAGCGATGGAGAAGCTGAGGATCAGCTATAATATCCCAGAGATTTCTCACATTACAGATCTCGTGGTATTTAAAATAACAAGATTATCGAGAGTTGATCACACGAGTAATCAATCGAACACACTGAACGAAAAGCAGAGTTATGATGGTAAGAACACTTAGATAGATATAAGCTGTAGTGAAAGATATATTAAGCCCAGATATACATATTATGAATTGAGTATTGTGAATATCAGCCCCTCGAATATTGTTGCGAAATGCTCCTCTCTATCTTCTGTTACTGCTAATAGCCCAATCTCCATGCAAATCTCGAATAGTCCATATTTATGCTTATAACACTACGATTCCCTTACCTGAATAGTAAATAATCATGTCTTGGATTTCAAGAAATATTTCTTCGTCCCTCCGTGAACTTCGTCTTGGCTCGACAAATCAGATGCGGCTAAATCTTCATGATTGGCTTTTTGAATGGCGGTTTGAATGGTAAAGTTTTTGTTCTCTTTCTGGCAGAGCCTGGCAAAGTCCCCAAAGTAGAACTGGCCTGCCGCGTAAGACGACTTAAACTTTTTTCTGACCTAGGCGTGGGTCGATACGACAGCTGTAAGAACTTGGGCGACATGCTCGGGGCAGATGCCTTGCTCTCCGTAGCCTCGGTGTTTGGCTGGGCATAAGTTGGATTCGCAATGCTCTTAAAGTGATCGGGATGGAAGCGACCTGGAGTTGTCTTGCTTCTAGACATAGGTGTTTTGTGTTCTTCTAGTGCCTGAGAAGCTCGGCAAAAGTAAGTTTCGTCCGGAATCTCATCTGGTATGAATGAAAGTTGAGAAGAATGAAGCGACTGCTCATGGCTGGCGGGAGGTGGTGCGTCTAGTATGAATTTTTCGAACTCATCGGGTGTATTGGATACTTGCGATTCCCCAAGCTCAGGAGAAATTTCGCGAACTGCAATCAATCGTGCTTCTGGCATCTGAGGTGCCACAATTTGAGTCTCTGGAATTTCAGGGCTAGGTGGCGTAGAAGGTCTATCAATCGTAAGGACTAGCGGTCTACTCCGAAATGTTGTCCGTCTACGTGTAATCAAGCTGATGGACTGCCTCTTGACGATCGCTGAAATCGGGCTTGAACTATCAAAGATGTCCTCTTGCGTCTCGTTCATAACCTCGCTTGACTTTGGCATTCGAATGCTCCAATCATCCGCTTCTGGTGTTTTTGATACTTGTGTGCTAATCTGCCGACTCATGACAATTGATGGCTGTGATACCTGGCTGTTCTTGTTACCTTCAGTTCTTGTCGTTTGTGATTCTTGCACTATCAACTCGTCAATCGGAGAAATTTCCCTGTTCCTAACCAAGCCTTCTGAGACAAACACCCCGGTGATTTCTTCTTCTCCACCCATTGGCTTGTCGAGCATTGAACCTTTTTCAGAAGCATAGACGTCATCTCTGTCGTCATTCTTTTCGTTACTCTGTTGATTTTCTTCGCTTGATTCGTCTTCATTAGGGGAGATATTCCCGTCAAATAGTTCATCTGATTGTTTTCCATGGACTCCCAGCACATCGAAGCTTTCTCCGCTCTCTGCCCTCTTTTCATTTTCATCTTCGTCTTCGTCTTCGGCTTCGTCTTCTTCTTCGTTGCCCATCTCTTCATCACTGTCGTCACCAGATACGTCGCTTTCTTCCATCTCGTCGTCATCACTTAAAATACTGATGATGCTTCGTTCCGATTCATTGTCAGATGACACATCCTCCTCGCTATCTTCGTCGTGACACCTCTTCAAGCGAACTGCGTCCATATCGCGCAAAATTGCGAAGTCTAAAGAATTTTCTCTTCTCTTGACCTCGAAGGATTCTTCGGATTTCTCAGAGTCCAGAGAAGATATTCTGACACGACGATCGCACTCGACTCTTTCGTCAAAGGTTACTCTTCGACATCCTCTTCCAGTGGGCGGCGGCGGGGAATTAGTTTCTGCAACCGGAATCATTTCACCGCTAAAAAGATACTTATGCATTGGTTGATCATCCTGATTGGTATCGCACTCTTCATGACTTTGGCTATCCTGGTCATCTTGTTGATTTTCGCCCGTTTTACTTGCTTGAGACCCCGGTTCAATCATTACCGATGCACCAAGTGTATCTTTCTTCTTTATACGCCTCTCAGTCTTTTTCGCTGGGACTGTCCTTTCAGCTTGGCCATTCAGCTCATCGACTAGCCCGTAGACCTTTTCGCGAACCAACTCTAATTGTGCTACTCGGGTAGTCAGTCCCCACACGCTAATGCAAACACGCTTTTGCTTGGGTAGCGGCATACATCGTCCGGTGGGGTTTGCTTCAGCTCCCACGAAACCATCAGAATGAGACGAGCTCACCTCATGGCGATTGCCGGATTCTTCCCAAGGGAATGTGTCGTAGCGATTTGGGAACCGAAAGGCTCTGTTATCAATCTTTCCAAAGGCGCCATGGTATGTCTGTAACACCTTTTTCTCGCCCTTTGTCCGCCCAACACTCTGTATAATTTTGAGGGCATTCGAAGAGTCTTGAGAGATTGGATCATCTAGGATTTCGGTTGAAGGTTCCACTGTACTCTAATCAATATTATACCACACACTTAGTGAAACTTTGACCATACCACTTTCACTATCTTTCTCACTAAAGTCAGCCACTCTTTCAGATACCAGGTGTAACTCATCCACCGGAAGTCTTCGAGATCTCTTATTCACCCTTCTCTTTTGCTTTTTCTTTGGGCTTGGACGGTCACTCTTTCGAGATGTATGGTTTATGGGTGCATCCTCTGAGTCGCTAGGGCCAGGCGTACAACCAGATGAATGAGTAGCATCACGCAATCCAAGAATGTCGATCTCAAAGTCATCGAGATCACTGCAGTTATTGTCCTTTGTGTGTGAGCCCATAATTGCTCCTCGAGCCTGCCGCGGAGCACCAAATGAGAAACTGGTGTCCCTGACCTCAGGATTGCTTAGATGCTGTGAATTGAATGTGCGCGAAGTTGCTCGGATGAGTTCTTCAAGACTGGTCGATTCTTGACTGCCAACGGATGTTTTATCGTTCAGAGGGTCAGAGTATTTGGAAATTGTATTTGATTCGGCTGGGCAGCCACATCCACGAGAAGATAAGGTTGCCTTTTCATCGTCTGTCTTTCCGTGGGACGATGTGCTTGATGGGTCTTCAACAGGAAGTGAAGTAGCGAGTTTAGACGCGGTGCGTCGCTCCCTCCGCAACCTTTTGCGCTTTGCGATTGTTCCCAAGAACCTTTTGGGCAATGTTTCAACCAGTTGCTTCGAACGCGAAACATTCTCATGGGGGGAAGGATGCAGAGTGCCAGTAGATTTTGGAACCCCTTGAACAACTTTGTCGTTATCCGCTGCTACAGATGTTTCTTTACCTTTATTTATTATAGCTTCACCAGTTAGAATTTCCGGTGCTTGCACGATCGGGGTTGACTTTGATGTGGCCGCTGCTTCTTCATCACTAGCAATGATTTCACTTTTGGAAATGCGAGAATTGAGAGCTTTAGGCGCCCCAAGATGTCTTCTCAAAGGATTAAATCTAGTCATTTGAGGAGTTTTCTGCAACACTTGCTCCAATTGAGCGGTGGTCATACCACCTGCAAGAGGTGAAACGATAGAATTTCGCGATGCGCTTGCAGGTGTTTCTGGTTGTGCCATGGCACGATTGTGGTCATATGAAAGAATCTTTTGATGATTAATTGCCACTATAGGCAGAAATGATGGTGAGTATAATTATGATCATGTTTTTACATCTTGGATATAGTGAGAGAGATAGAAGAGTGTTCAAGATTTGAAAGCTAGAATTCAAAGAGATAGCGGAAAAAATGCACCCACCTAGCACCTAGGGCAGGCACGATGGTGGTACTTCCCAATTAGGACCTTTCTTTCCGTTTCACCAACTGAGAAGGAACGAACCAACATCCACCTACCCCATCAACATATGAATCTCAAGAACTGATTGAAACCCATGGTCAAATTAATTTGATTTTGCCTATCAGAACACAATGATGGTACGAGGAAGAAACGACACCGCGTTTACTCCCAGAAAGTCGTCGTGGCTTCTAGTGCTGTAATATCTACTTTGAAAAATATTCTTTTTACTTGGTAGTGATCCAGCAAAAGTTTCCACAGGTCTTCAAGGTCATCCGAAAATCCAGTGCCCCTGCCATGAACGCCCCTCGACTAATAAACAGGAGATGAAATAGAAAACAATATACAACCCATGTCCAGCGTGATCACTTTAAAATGCACCAAATACGTATGGAATCATTGCACTACGATTTATGTTAGTACTGCGTCGCACCAAGTATAAATTTAATGAAATGGGGAGGGGGCTTACCCAATTGCCAAAGTTGCACTCAGACCAATTAAAGCCCGGGTCTTGACTCTCTCCTTCTTCAAGTCGGCCGCCACCTTAACTTTCTTGGCTGGGCCCACATCCAAAGCTTCTTCCTCTTCGTCATCTTCCTCATACTCTTCCGCCTTTCTCTTCGAGCGAGTTGGAATTCCGGCGTCTTGCTTGACAGCAGCCTCTACCATTTCTTTCGCCTTAGCAATCATAGCCTCCGTATCCTCTGGAAGGGGGAGGTCTGGTGTGCCAGCTGGCATCTCAACCTGAACATGAGTGTGAGTGGTCTCGATGTCGCCATTAACTTCAACATCAGTATCAACCTTGACTCTGACCTTTGGCTCCGAGATTTCTTCGTTTGATTCATCCGTGATTGGTTCCTCAATTTGCGTCTTAACCTCCTTAACTTCCTGAACAGCTTGAACTTCCTTAACCTGCTCCTCGACTTGCTCCTGAATTGGCTGGGAAGCTGTGGAGTCTGTAGAATCTCCTTTCCCCTCGGCCTCAACTACTTCGTTTTCCAGGACTTTTTCGAGTACGTTATTGGTAGCAGCTGCAACAGGTTCCAAACTTGCTAGTCTAGCACTTGGTTTGCGTGCCCTTGCGATCTTGCGCGGAGATGAAGTTGCATACTTGCTGGGTGATGCGGATCGACGAGGGCGGCCACTTTTGGTAGTTGGTGCAGCTAATGCCTCAGGAGCAGAGATTTGAGGGGCCTCATCTAATTGTAGCTTTGGTGCGGGAATTGGAGGGAGATCTGTGAAGTCAAACTTTGGAGGGGGCGCAATTGATTTCGGTGTTTGATCTTTGGTTGGGTTAACTTCAATTGGCGCATTGTCAAGCAGAGCTTTGATCCAGGGCAGGATCTGGTACTCCTCTGCAAGCTCAAGTGCATGATGGGGAGGAATCCAAACATTCCCTGCGGTCTCATCTACAGAGGTCGTTGGCAAGCTCTTGATATATCGGCGTTCCATCTCCTCTTCTGCAGTCTCCGAGTAGGGAAAGGTAGCCTTGAACATTCCGGTTGCGCTGATGAAGCCGTCGTTGCTACGGCGCATCAAGAAATACGAGGCGGGCGAAGGCTTGAAAATGCCGCTGTGGATGCCCTTGGGCAGCGGAGCACGTAAGTGTGCATAATCGAAAGTTCCCAAGTTCTTGGGCTGGGTAGAATTCGATTTGTTGAGTTGACCAGTCTTCACAGCCAGATCTGTCTGACCCAATCTTCTTCTGGCGACCAAAGTTTCATCTGCGAAAATTGTTAGCTCTGGTTCTCAACCACGTACGCGACTGGCGCATCGCCTCACAAGCTGGGATTTCGGAGGTCATCAAAGGATTGACCTTTGCGGGTAAGTGTCGCGAGGCAGGCATTGCGATAGCAACTGGCTCAATGATAATACGCTAGAAAGGATGCGGATAGAGGACTGTCGGATGGAATATTAGATTGAATAAATCTAAAGGTTTCGTTAAGAAGATTTCGGAGAAACTGTAATTCTGTTTCGTGGTTACGCGATTAGCAAACATTTTTGTTGATCTTTTGATTCAAATTGATACAACAATGGGAGTATAAAAAGAGGGAACGTACATGAAAAACACTTAACACGATCAACGCCTTCTTGATGTAGATGTTGCGCGTTGGGCGTTGAAGGAAGGAGGATCCGGTGTGAAGAAGAAGCTTTGATCTTGTTCGCGACGGGACACGGAAGGAAAGAAAGGTTATCGAAGAAAATTGATTGGAGTTGCCCGCCAAAAATCGTAGTAGATATACCTAATTAAGTACGCGATGTAAAATGTGCGCCTTAATAAATCGGAGTAACCCCAGACTGATTGATTCAACAACGAGCAGGAAGCAATGCAAGATGATGAATTTGTGATTGTGAATGCAAACGTGAATGGATGAATTATGATCAAGGATTAATTGTAAGTGGAGGGAGGCGGTGGTATAAAAGTAAAAAGAATACAAAGTCAGTGTGGGAGATTCTGCGATCCCTGAGGGCTTTGGGACATTTTGACAAGTCGACAAGAGGATTGGTGGTTTTCTGACCGTGCAAAGTGGATTTGCTGGGGTGGGGGAGGAGGAATGATCAGAGAGATATGTACGAGCATGTATGTATGTATATATGTATATGTACGGTGTATGTACGTTGCAACATTGTATCCATAGTCGGAGCTTTCATCCTTTCTTCCATATGCGGTCTTGTAGATGAATGACAGACATAAAAGACCCTCGCACCGTAACATTCTCCAAAGCTACCTAGGTATAAGGTGTATGGATGTAGTGTGTACATTTACAATTCACTACACCAAGATGCATGGTGAGTTGGACAGAATAATAATGATACCTAAGTATCTGGAATACATCTACATAAGTACGAAGAATAAAAAGCTTTCTATTGACTTATATACTCTCGAGCTACTGTATCTAGGAGGTCGTAGGTCGTAGGTCGTAGGTCGTAGGTAGTATGCAGTATTCTTGTACGGCAATTTGATGTGAATGTATTACAGTTCCAACTACCTAGACACTGGTATTAGATATGTATTGAAAGCTACCGTTACCTAGCTATACCTAGGCAGCTATATCTGTTGCTCATCCGATCACAACCAGGTATAAAGTTCGTGTTATGGTTCGATTGACTTATTATTACCATCATTATTATATTATCATTATACCAAGGGAGAGCTACCTAGTATCTATCTGGCTTGATCTCAACCATGGAAAAGGGGACAATGGGGACGGGGAGAGAGCTTCTGGAACCAGTCCAGTACTTATGTTTGGTTGAGTAATTAATTGATTGGACGGGGATGCCCCTTTTATGGTGAATATTAATATATCGTATCACATGACATGATTTCACCGTCCTTGTTATATTTATTACCTGGAAACATTCGCAAATCAATAAAAGCTATTGTCTCCCATCCATTTCTTTCAAAAGATATCTCCAATCCAATCTTTCATCAACACGCTCTTCTTCCTTCCACATAACAATCTCGAAAGTAACATACCCTCCTCACTGTCACGAGATTCTTGCATACTACTGTACCTCCGTGGGTTGGCAAGGATCATAGCTCAAGCCCCACTAAGCTGCATCTCGATTGCCAACGCTGCTGTATCAAAAGTGCAGCATCCACAAACCCAACAGCTTTTAAATTTCTGTGTTTGGACTTCTCCCTACAGATCTTCCTTTTCTTATCAATTCTTCCAAGTAACACCCTACTTACCCTTATAAATCTACTACACGATATCGAAGATGGCGGACCAACAAGAAAATGAGCTCTTGCCCGAGACAACTGATGGATTCAAGGTGGGGGAGAAAAAGACTTTGGATGAGTATTCCAAGATGGGTACGTTTCGAAACCCCTTTTATCCTGTCTTCTTTGTTGCTTTTCAGATCCTGCCATGATCTTCAGCTTCTGTTCAGCTTCTGCTCAGCTTAGCAAATGCTGCTGGGAACGTTCTTGACCTAGTTGGAGTCAAGCCTACCCCTCTAGCTATACCCCGCAGTCGAAGCGGTCTGGAGATAACCATGTGAGAGGATAGAGAGAGATCTCATCTGGAGCAATATTTCTTTTGAAACCTGGCGTCTATTTGATCACGGCAACTCAATTATGTGCAATAGTTTGTACAAGAATTGTTGCAAGTGCTTTTGGGTCGCCACATTGACTATGGGGGTACAAAAACACTATATTTCCACTCTTCATAGCTTTCCCAATCCGACCAAGACAATGGCTAGAAGTCTCCCTTCCGCTTGATTACAATTTATCAGATGATTTAGATTTTGAAGAAAGTACATATATTCAGAAAGTATATTACCGCGTCCATGATCTACACATAATCTACTGTGCAAGCGGGACCCTATTGCTTTCATAATAGCTCATCCCGTAATATGCACCATGGTCATCTAGGTTTTACTGACTCTATATTTCAATGCAGATGCCGAAGATGAGTCTCTTCAACGCTACAAGGAATCCCTTGGACTTGGCGGTGGTGGACAGGACCTTAGTGACCCAACAGATCCACGTGACTGCATTATTCTCACTCTTGAGATGAACTCCGAGGGTCGCCCCCCAGTCAAGCTTGAGCTTTCTACCCCTGATGCTCTCGAGACCTTGAAAGATCATCCTTTCAAGATTAAGGAAGGTTCTAAGTTCAACCTTACTGCTACTTTCAAAGTACAACATAACGTTTTGAGTGGTCTCCAATATGTTCAAGTCATCAAGCGCAAGGGTATCAGAATCGATAAATTGCAAGAGATGATTGTACGTGCTTTCCGCGCATGTCTATATCTACACTATTTTTCACGAACTGACTCTC